CGGCCAGAGAAGGAGAGATAATTAGATTTATTTCTGTAGGAATCTGAGTAATCTCGACACTCACACTTTTTTGATACCTCCTATACACATCGATGCACTGTTATGATGTTAATGTGGATGAACAATTAAATTGTGACGCTGAGTGAGCCAAAATAAAAGGAAAGACTCGATTTACAGTGAAATATTATGTTAAGTAAAGAAAGATTTTTTATTAATTTAATATCCTCCTCCCTCTCTTCACCGATTAGGACTCACTAATTGCTAATTTCCCTCCCCCCCTTTCTGATCATGTGATCACTCGCATAAACTCCGATCGATCAATCGATTTCTTCAGATGTTTGAGGCGATTGCTATTCTCAAACCTCTCAACCCCTCAGGTGGCTGAGCTGAAAAATAATTAAGTAATTTCATGTCAAAATGCTAAGTACGTCTACCGTATAATGAATGAAGCCTCCTCTGATTGATGCACCCACGCTTTGAGCATAGATAGGAAACAAATTTGACAATTCATGTGACTAAAGGGAAACAATTAGTCAAACATTGCTAATTGTCAACCTTACATTACTCACTAATCAATTGATAACTGCCAGGTTTTATGACATTGACGGATCGTGACAGAGGTAAACATTAAATTGGGAAAACTTTGATGAAAAACTATGGTTATGGAGCAAAATGAAGTGAAACTCGACACACGTTTTATGTACTTTAGTCTAAGCAACTCCTCTAGCTTCTCCAATGTTACGCTCTTCCATAGCTCTTCCAAGGAGTTACTGTCTACCCTGTGGCTTATTCCGTTGGACAATAGATTTGCAATGTTTACCTGTCGACTTTATTCACCTCTTGATAGCAATGAATAGACTGGCTGCTTTTTTTCGGCGGGCTAAGGTGGTGGAACATTTTTTTCTTACGTAGGATTTTCCAGAGTGTCCTACTCAATCCACCCGTTTAAGTGGCATTGAAGTCGAAAAGTCGAACGGTTTGCCTCTTTCCTTTTGTTAGGCAAATCGGGCTATGGGATGGAAAAATTGACTGTCTCCTCGCCACTTCGTTTGATGCCAGCCTAAGTGATGATGGTACAACAAGGAGACAATGTTTTATTCACAGACTGCCACTTAGCCGGCTATGCAAGTAAGAAGGGCAATACTGTGCGATAAAAGAGGAGTATCAAGCAATGAATGCGAGAGGACAATAAAAAGAAGCAGAGACAGGGAAAGAGGAGACATCGCCTTCTTAACCCTTTGCTTAAAGAGAGAAATAAAAGGGAAAAATCAAATTGGCAAATGAAAAGCACTAGAATGATTTTAGATTGATGGAAAACTTCTCTTCCAACTCATTTTATTTGCTGAGAGGCAAAAGGGAGGTGCAGTATTAATAGGAAAGATGTAGGAGTAAAAAGAAGGAAGAAAGACTAGTGAGTGGATGTGTGGAGAGGTAGATTGATTTACAAAAAAGAGAACGCTGAAAGAAGAAGGAGGCAGACGACTATCTGTAAGTCCATTCGCCTCCACTTCCCAAGGAATTCAGAGGGGACCTGCCAACATCTAAATTAAAGTGCAAACGAGCAGGAGTCTAAAAGAATGACGTGATATTCTTCTTGAGCGGCACAGTTGGTTCATTCACCATTGATTACTGCCAGCTCTTATTGCGATTTGTTCGGTAAAGCTTTTCATCTTCTTATAACAGTTCCCTACGGCCGGTGCTGCCGATAATGCATCTGGACTACTTAAAAGTCCGAAGTGAGACTTAAAGATTTTGGCTACCGAAAAAATGTTTAAGTCTCATCCATATCTTGCATCAAAGGCAGCACCCATGCTGGATAAGATGATCCTCTCCAGGTATTTCATGTAACTACTGTCCAGCCTTAAGCCGGAGGACATTACTACGGTAATGTAGAATTCGTAACTACTTAAATCGTAAGTAGCATGGTAGAGCGTCTCGTCAACATTTCGCCGACGCTAGGCCCTCCGCTCATAGTGTGGACAAATGCAAATGGATAGTGTCTATATTCTTGCTCCTTGCAAACTTCTACGGTGTCTCTTCTATGTTTTCATAAACAAGTTAGTCACTAACGCCGTGCCTTCTAATCCCAGGGGCTGATCCCGATACTGTCGACTTCACTTTTCCAACCCTTCATGGAATAGCTATAAAACGTGAAGAATGCGCTTACGCTTTCACTTCAAGCCAACGACAGTGAAAATAAACTGCAGTGAAATGTTGTACACGAGAAAGCGTTTGTTCTTACATCCCATAATCTGCAATGGGAAATGTAAAGTAAACTACGAGTTTAGTTCAAACATGAAACGTCGACGACAAACGCGACATCTGACTTAATTCTTAAGGCTTTATGTGATATCTTTCCAGTGGGACTCCGGAATGGTAGAGGAGTGACACAATTAGATTTCCTCATCACCGAATAGGGATAGGAAGGGAAAGTTTAGGTGGCATCAGCTACTATCGAAACCAATTATAGAAAAGGCCATTTTGACAAGATGTTAAATACTGAAGTAGAATGCTCATAGGACTGATAGCAAACTTTAGTTCTTACGACCACCTCAACTGCCCGGGTACGGTCTCGAAGAACAGAATAAGCACTCAAGAAGTGATGTTGAAAGCTCATGCTATAAGTTCTGTTTCACTACTTTTGTACATGCCTTGCTCCTCTACGCATGGGCTGGCCTTCAAAAAAAGCCCAATCCCTCCTCTCTTCTCCTTGAATGCATGAATTTACCCCACTTACTTGCTTCTTCTAGCTGTGGAAAGACCCAGGACGATACAAGTCTGTCCTGAAGGAATACTGCAGAACACATCAAATTCTCGGAAAAGTTGCCTCAATTGTTAACGAAATGCTTTAACCAGCACACATCAATCATTTTATTGTTTCCATCAAGAATATGGTGTTAATTGGGGCACCTCGAAACCATAGTGACATATCATAGAGTTAAAATAATTTTACTTGTCTGGTTTGAGTCATCGGACTTTATTGGCAAACAATTCTACTGCTAACCTTTAAATGGACCAATCAAACAACCCAACTCATACTAGCAAGTTCGGGATTCAATTGGTTAATTGTGGATTGTCAATCAGCGCGATACCATTAACGCGCACAATTTGCATTGGTCAAACTTAACCAATCGGCCACCGGTCATGCGTCTGCTTTTCAATAGGCTGCATTCGCATATATAAGAAGCTCTGATGATAGAGTCTTGATTATTGCCGGCTGGTGCTGCTCTTCAGATGATCGTTGCTTCGCGGTTGGTGAGTTTAGTTTCTTTACGGTGTGGTGGCCTTGTCTTGCCAGCCTACCTCAGAGTGATTTGCGTCTGACCTGTGGTCTGCAGTAATATGAAAATGTGAAGCATTTAGTATCATGGAAAACGATCCTTAATTTGTGCATTTTTGTGGAATTTTGTTTGCTGGTTTTGTCAGGCAGATTAGTTTCAATTCATGGTGTTTACGCTTTATATTGATTCAATGAACAGGCTTTGTTTTGCATTCGACTGTTCCAATGTCATAGCTACAACCAAAAGTGGAGCAGAGGACTGTCTAACAATTTATTTTTGTCCTCAATAACAGGTGTTAGTCGTGTGGTTTTTGCGGTTTAAAGACGTTTAGAGGAGTAGGTAGTGAGAAGGGAAGCATTTTCTGAACTTCCCTTGATTATGCTGGAAGTTACAAACGAAGACTGTCCCTCCTTGAGCCCGGAGTCGAACGGTTGCGTTTGTGAATCCTTTAAGTACTCAAAAGGCTTTCTTTTTCCCTGTTTCACACGTGCCTTTTCCTTGAAGAATTTCTTTTTTAGAAGTTCCCACCTGACAGATACTTATTCGCCTCCTTTCAAGTAACTTTCTGTCTTTAATTGGAATGATTTTGAAACTTAAACTCTCCACTTTTCACTCAATCTACATCGGAATCTGAGCGAAAGCGGATTAAACTTAGTTTTTTCCCGCTCGCATTTGCAAGTTCTTTCAGACGTATTTTTTGATTCCGGAGAGAATGAGGAGTGAGAAGCGTTTCAGCATTCTCATTGCACTCCTCCATGTGGTCCCTCACAGCGTTTGATTCTTTCTTCAAAAATGACGTCTTCTTAAACGATTCTCTCTACCACAGTGAGGTGTATGGACGGACAGCTCCCATATTTTTGCTTTGCATTTTCAAATTCAGAAACCTTTAGAGGGGATATCAGGGAAGCCTTCCGTTTGTCTTCAGGATGGAGGACTAAATTATTTTGGCTGACTGAGTTCCGCGGCGCCTTTTAGCATACACGAAAGACTGTTTAACAATTCCCGGTTTCCGTTGTTCTTAATTGTAACAATTGCATTTCCTCCCAATGTTGTCACTAAAGCTTGACGCATTGCTAAGGTGCTAGAGCACCGCATCTCGTTTTTTTCTCAAAAAGGTGGTTGAGAAAAAGGTGCCGGCAGACTGCAATGCGTGGCTTCTCGTTGGGATTCAGTTGAAGAGTATCTCCCAATAATGGGTCTATTTTGGGCTTTCCTGGGTCGCACATCAACTCGATCTGTTCTTCAGGTCGTTGTGGCGTGAGTGCATGATTTGATCGCCTTACTTCACTTTAAGACGCTGGGTTTATTACTGGCGGTCTTCCTAGGCGTACAGCAAGGGCTCAGCTCCATGTCATGTCTTTCAACTTTGATCACAAAAGTGCATTCGATCAGCTTTTTTGTTTGGAAAATGTGACCATCTCTTGTGCTTTAAAGAGTCTTCAATGTCTTGACTTCGCGTTAGACTATTTCTTCCAGTTCGTTCACAACTATAGACTGTCTGGCAGGAGAAAACTGTTTCTAGCTGTACTTCGTTGTTTTTGGAATTTGGTTATTTGTGGATCTCGATTTTTGTTAACGCAGGTCTTCAACTGTGCCTCGGAGTAACAAAAGGAGACATCAGCACCGAGTGCACCTTGACTGTCGTGTAAGGACTGCCATCCTGAAAGGAAGCTGCTTCTTGATGCACCGAGATTGCTCTTTATAGCTTTAGGCTTGAGTATGAAAAATCGTTTCTCTAATCAGGGTCAAAAAGTCTGCGTAGCTAAGTTTACCAGTTGAGTAGCCCATCGCCAATGTGGCAACTAATTTTCCCTCTCCCTTCAGCGTGCAATTGCTCCACCACCTCCAAACCGTCCACTGCCACCGATTCCCACAGCGGAGGAGGAGGCGGCGGCAGCAGCTTTACAACACCGGCGACTTTCAACGACCACCGTTGCAACAGCAGCGATGGCGACAAATGCAACTGTTCCTAATCCCACCAGTAAGACATCACAGAACCGTCGGGTCGTCCCGCGAATGGGCACTCGCAGTCATCCTCGTGGAAGCCAGCCTTCAGCCTCCACTGTCTATGATGTCGGCGAACGTGTTACTGTCTCTCGTCTATCAGCTTCATCGCCTTCCTCTTCCTCCTCATCTTCTGGCTGTGAAGATGCCACAAGTGGTAGGTCTTCATTCCAGTCAAAAGAGCATCAGCTGTAGGTCTAGACGTTTGTCACACATCCCATTATTTCGTTTATTCGACTGGTAAAGAGCTTGCTTAATTTTTTTTCTGTAGAATCTCATAAAATGTCATCAGACGACTACCTTAAAATCACCTCGCAGCCCTGTCTGATCAATTTTGAGTCAGGGTATCAGGACTCAGATGACGGCTATACCTCATTAAATGCTTTGGACAGCCTCAAGAACCCGCATCATCATCGTCATCAGCGACATAATCAACAGCCTTTGCGAAGTCCGGACCAAACGAAGAAGGCCTCCGAAGCCCAGGAATCCAAACGTCCACACTCCATCGCCTCCTCAATCACCTCCTCATCCTCTTTTGACGACGAAAGTACTCTCGTCTGCACAAGTGGTAAGGATCAGGACCTCCCTTTGGATGGAATGTACCGTCTAAAAGTTAGGTCAACCACGTCCACTGCTACTATCCAGTACCATGGAAACAAGCGTCTGGTGCGCAAGTATCGTATGAAACGCCAAGAGGGTTTGGAAGCACCCCCTAAAACCGTTTCTTTGGATCGCGAGCAGAAGAAGCGACTTCAACATCAACGGGATAGGCTTAGACGAGGAGGAGGCGGTTGCAGTTCTCCCTGTCGTTTGGTTACCATGCTGGTTGTTTAAGCGACGACGATGACAAGGAGGAGGAGGATGAGGATAAGGATGGGCATAAGGAAATCGGTATTTTTGCGTATGTACATATGACGGTGTGGTATTTTTTCATTCGACAATATATCAACTTGCTTATACCAGCGTCACGCTGCCTCCTTCCCTCTGTGGTGGGGCTGGGGCGATGGTAGTATGTATCGATCTGGAGTTAATGTCTCCGCCTACTCTGATGCCTTTTTGAGATAGCCAGACGTCTAGACACGCGTACAGCATTGTCGTCATCGCGGTAGTCCTGTTGAGCTATGCTTACTGTCCTCAAGAGGACATAAGCTAGGTAGGCGCGAGAGGAGCTAAGTGCAAATGACTTCGACGATTTGGAGTTTCTAGATTTTATACTTCCGGAGTGTCATGATGCCAACAGCGGGAAATAAGGCGGCAATAACGACTCTCTGTCGATGCGCGTTCGGAAGGTGCATGGAGTATCTTGGATTCCGACAACGTTCAACGTTGAGTAGTTAATTCTGAGATAGCTCTGTGTTCTTTGGATCCATCCAGTCGGTGCGACAAAGTGTCGCCGTTCCGGAGAGCTATTCAATTCTTTAAACTCCGGCTGCATTTAAATCGGAGGGAAGTGGGGGGTTTCGCGTCTTTGATGTTTCTCATGACTATCTGTTGTGAGCCTTTTAGTGGATCTCACTCAAGGGAGTTTCGGACCGCGCAAGGAGCTTCAACTTATGGCACGGTCCTGAAGTTTACTTGATCTTTAGCAATACGCGTTGCCCAAAGCCGAATTGTGGTGGTCTCCCCCTATTAATTGGATTCGTTACCTACCTCGCTAGCTTCTGTAGCTCCTCCAGTGTAGAACTTTCCAAATTTGGACACTCACTGACAGTGAGAGTCTTAATTCTTTCAAGCGGACTATGCCATTGCATTCGTCTGAGAGCATGTCGGTCACGACCTCATACCGCATCTTTACAGCTCCAGCCTTCGAGTTGTAATGCTTTACTCAATGGGTAGCCCTCGCAGTTCAACATCTCATTGAGGTCTTCGTGCCTTCACACTTCGGTTTCATTTCTCCATCCTTCTGTCCACTAAACACAATATCACATCCAACCACGCACTGCAAATTGCTCCCCTCGGGATCCCGTCAGATCCCCATTTACCCAATCGCCATATTCAAAGGACGCAATAACTCGGAGATGTTCAAGTCATAATTGCACTACTTGTTTACTCTCGGTTCTCTTTGTCTCCGTCAATGGCACAAAGTGATAGCGTAAACATCCCTTACACATTCCACATTTTCATTGTCATTCTAGGGAGGATGTGTGTGGAGAAAGGTCACAACTTGAGAGTTAATCATCAGGAGCAGAAGGTGTAGATGTCGGTAAATAAATCGACTATGATACAAAAGTAGGGAGATGTAGAGGTCTGCATTATCCACTCCAATCGTTGGACAACTGATGAGAAGGATTTTTTTGGATGGCACAGAGAACACGAGGCGTCCAAGGCGGATGGAAAAGGTTAGTTTAAAATGCGACTTATTGATAGGAAGAATGGGAGGATGTTTTAGTCGCCCATTCAACGGTCAATCTTTAATAGTCAAAATTCTGGAACGCTGTGCGAGTGATCATGTCGTCAGCAGTAAAAGGAGGAGAGGGTGAGACAGTACGGCTTGAGCAAAAGTTAAACTTAAAAGCAAACAAATGGGAAGACTATCGAACCTCAATCTGTCCAAGTGAACCAAATGAGATGTCCAAGATGAATGTCACAAAAGCTTCCCATCTGTCAGTTCGCCTGTCCTCCTATGTGCTTGTCATCGGTGAATGTTTTAAACTCTCGATCCCTTCCCCGTCGTATGAAATCGTATAGATTGCTCAACGGTTCCTTTTTATTCACCCTTCATTGCGGTAACACATTAAGCACTCCATTTCACAATTCCCTTCACATACTTAGAAAAGGAAGTCTTCCATCACTCGCCTATTCTAATTGATTTTGATGCTTTCCTTTGGGAGACATTTAGTCCTTTTATTTATCTGGCAATGTGCCAAGCGGTCTTGTACCCCGAAGGAAAAACACCTTCAAAGTAGTAATGAAGCCGTATTTAGGATACTCCAATGCGTTAAAGATCTTCCTTGCTATTGGACTTCGGACACTGAGAAGGGCGTTAAGTCCAACTCAGACAACAAAAACAATGTCACACCCGAGAAATTTTGCGCTTTCTCTTGAAAAGTGTCGGCCATTTGCAGGACATTGTTTCCAAATGGACGCTGCAGACCCTTTCTTCTCTGCCTATCTGTCTCCTGTTTGTGGTCCTCTCGCCCACCCCCTTCCTCTGGGCGTCGCCTAATTTCCAGACCGTAAAAAAGCCTTGTCGCTTCGTTGCATTATCCCTACTACCCATGGTATCAAGCAAAACTGAAAGTGGGGAGAGGAGCACACTTGTTTATTTCCTCCCCTCCCTTTTATCATTTCAATAACCGGGTTCATATACATCCTTCCACATACAGGTGAAGACCCAGTTTTATTCCTCCCCTTGAACAATGGGTGAGGTCAGTTGTTTTTTTCCTGTCGGCGTACAAGTCATCAACACCAAGTGCTGCTCAATGTTTAGTTGGATTGAGTCCTCACAGCCACTCCTATCACCATTGATAAGGGACATTTTATAGAACCACCACCACTTCCATTTTTGTCGCTACATTGATGGTGTTGTTACTCTCGTCACCTTGGTAACAAGGCTTTCCATTTTTTGCGTAATTATTACCACGGCAAGAAAAACAAGCATGCAATTGTGTGATGCCAGTCCAGTTTTGCTTCCGACCTTCA